ACACCAACTGATAGGGGGTGATAAAAAGCGTTGCCGCCGTCATTCTTCCTCAAGGTTGTACGTTGTTCACTACCAAAGGGGGGTAAGTGATATGGACATTGGGACATTTGTGACATTTGATTATAACAGTTGACAGGAATAGATGGGGGTTACTTTCACTTCATTCCTTACCATTATACTTCTGGGTATCGGGTATTGCAGCACGCATATGAACTCAGTAAGTCAATATCTTACCGTCGAGCGGAGGGGGGGGGCTAGGTGAAAAAACTCACCCATGCGCGTTGCGGCGAGGTCACCGCGGCGGCAGGGCGGAGCGAAAGGCGATGGATGGCCTGCGCCTCCGCCACTGTGCTCCAATCAGCAGCCGCTTTTATGTGGAAGGAAAAAGATGGATAAGAGAGAGAAAAGGAGACTGAACATATAGTGGATGCCTATGTGTAGGTCTTAGTGGTATTGGTGAGCGAATACAGAAAAGTCGAGTATCGAGCGTATTGCTTCAGTCAACGGCGAAACTAGCGAGAGAGAGTTCCTTTCGATTGCGAAAACGACGCAAACAGCTTTTACGCAGACGTTCGTTTAAGGTGAGGTTTGGCGAATTGCCAACAAGGGGTTTTGACCTTATAACGGTATACATTTGCGTAGGAGCTGCTTGCGTCGTTTTCACAATCGAAAGGAACTATTTCGCCAGTTTCGCCGTTGACTGAAGTAATACGCTCTGATACTCGACTTTTCTGTATTCTCTCACCACTACCACTAACACCTGTAAGCTCCCTCTTTTATCTTCCACATAAAAGCGGCTGCTGATTGGAGCACAGCGTCGGCCATCGCCTTTCGCTCCGCCCTGGCGCCGCGGTGACGTCCAAAAACCGCGCCGCAACGCGCATGGGTGAGTTTTTCCCTCCTCCGGCGGGGGGGGGGGGGGCATATAGTGCGCGTGAAACGGGAAAAATCAGAAATATCTCCAATCAGAGAATTCGAGGGTCAAACTTCCACTGTGTTCTGGACAGGAATGGTATTTTAGGCGAGGCATACTGCTTTAAAACTGTAGGACTGCTAGAGGTCATCGAGGTCATGGTACAGTGGGAGGATAAGCTATCGGGGGTACGTTCTGTAGGAGCCCCCGCTTGATATATGCGACAGTGAGCACCAGACATTCGCTCTGTTGGCGGTTTGGTTTAGCTCCAATCTCTCTTCTTCTTTACTTTGGATTTTTTTCATGATTATCGATAAATAGAAATTGGCATCAATCGTCATTCACTGAAGTGAATCGCCTCGCATTGCTTTATCACATCAGGCGCGCAGTACTGTGCGCCAGCTTCGCCTACTTATGAGAAGCGTGTCACATCAATCGTGGCCATCGTGGCGCGTTTGGCGTGTGGCCCTGCCGAATTGACAAAGCAGTAAAAAAACTAGTCGAAATTTTCCAGCAGCGCGAGTTGACTGTTTCTGAGCCCATGTTCTTCTAACTCTTTTACTGCGCTGATGTAGCTCAGATACGCGCAGTACATTACATTAGGCCGCATTCACACATTGCGACTGAGGAGATTCGCCGATTTGGGAGACTGCGATCTCCGGATCGCTAAATCTTCCAGATTGCCGGATCGCTTAATTTCCCAAATTGCCGGGTCACTCAATTTTTCGGCAGAGCCATATTAATTCCTATAAAATCGCGCGCGCGCAATCTCTCGAATCGCCGAATCTCTTCATTGTCGGTCGCAAAGTCTGAATGCGGCCTTACTCGTTGAGAAGTCGACGACCTCATTGACGTCATATAACACACGTTTATGACGTGTCTTGAGACGTCACCGTCAACAGCTTTCTTCGTTGCCGGAAGGTTTTCGTATTTCTTCTTCCTATTTATCAATAGTAAGATTTCATCCTACTTCTTTTTCCTTTCCCTTTGGTAATTCTACCATTCCTTTTTATCCTTACCTCTCCGTCTGCTCTCGTTCCGTAAGTGTTGGATAGCCTATGGAGTAGGGGTTATCACGCTTGCTGACGGGTGGCAGGTGTTATGTTTTTTTGCATGCATTAGCAGGATGGTGCACTTCAGCATCTCCCTTACCTTGTAGTACACTTGATTTTGCCAGGTTCTAGTGGGTGAAGAAAAGACTCATATTGATGGGAACGAGTTGAGAGGGAAATCGTGAATTGCATCCAACAGACTTAATGGCATCTAGCTAGGTTGACTGCATTACATTCACTCAAAAAACATCTTGCATTTGATTGCTTTTGACGCTCGCTGTCGCGATAAGTTTTCGTTCTTTGGTCTCTCGTTGTCTGACTTAAGCGTTTCTTACAGATAGGACTCGGTTTACTTGTTCATTCACTACTTGTATAATGACCGAGAAGGTAGTGCAGTTAGCCGTCAAGCCAGACATCTCAAAACCGCGATGGGATCAGAGCACATTCGAGGGTAAGTCTATTGATTCTACTGGAGATGCATGATGACCCGTTTTCAATGACATTTGTTATCTTGCAATTTCCGCTTGCTTTTAGTCTTAGTTTTTTTTCCAATTCCTGAGGCCGTTATGTTGGCACGAGAGCTGTCCAGAAGATGAAATTACTGGTTTGAACACCGAAATTTGTGTGGAAAGAGTACAAATGCGATTATTTGCGAGGTGAATCCCTCCCTTGCACAAGGTGGTTGGGTCCACAACCGTCAAAAAAGCTCGTTGTTGCCTTTCAACGTTAGGTGACTAAGAAGTTGCAGGTTTGCGAGTGATTGTTAGTTCCTTCGTGCCACCATCTTTCACGCCATACAACCACGCGATACGACCACGCTATACATGCTGAGGGCTGCGCTCTGTCACTGATAGAGTGGTCTATGGGGTTTGATGGGGGCTGGTGGCTACTCCTCTGAAGAAACCACAGATGTGGAACTTTATGTCGCAGCTGAAATCTCCTCAAAGGCGGCCTCAGTGGATAAAGCGATGGTGACCAAACATTTCTTAGTGCAAGGGTGCGGTGCACCCAGTACGTGTCGCGTGGTTGCATCGCGTAGACGTACGGGTAGGATAAGAATGGTACGATCGCACCTCGTTAACGACTTCTCGCACCTGGATTCGAGGCATAATTAGCGAGGTGCGAAGAAACCTCATTAAGCCGATTAGCGAGGTGCGAAGCGACCTCATTAGCCGAGGCACGTCGTGCTCAACTGCAGCTGAACTCACTTCAAGGAAAAGCTATTAAGCTATCCAAATCGGAATAAATCCATTGCAAGATTTCGGTAAAGTGGGTAAAAAGATTGCCATATATTTCATATATTTATTATTATTATTATTATTATTATTATAATTATTAATTATTATTATTATAAATATATATTCTTAAACAAGAACAAGTGTACCAACATTAGTATATACTATTTTATTATGAGCAGTTTTGTATAGCACATCTATTGGGGCACTAGATACTCCCTGCTGATAGTGCTAAAAATTGTAATTAGTTACTATCAGGAGGGGCCAAAACGATATTTTCTTCGTGGGCCCCAGACTGAGGGTGTGCGCTGGTGGCTACATCGAGCAACGAGGAGAATATCCCATCTTCATGTCGTCGCCCGTACCTTCTTGGAAACTTTGTACTGCTACAGGATTGGGTGACAACACATTTAATCGAAGGGCGTTGGAAAAACTTTCGCCTACTTGGAATGGAAGAACGTTGAGTACCTGGAAAAGATGGAGTATTTAAGCGGGGGTCCTGAACTAAACCCCCTCAATTACTCGGTTCGGGCGGAGCTCAACAGGGTGTCTACAGTGGCGGAGAAATCAACTTTCTCGCTCAACCGATACCAATCCTTTCGCGCGGCGCTCTCTCGATGGTTCCTCCTCCAGAAGACTGTGTGACTCTCCTCAAAGCACTGTCTTAATAGATAGCAGCATTTTTATGGTAATTGTTCGTGAAGCCTTCACGTTTTTTTAATTTACTTGCAGTTTATTTTCAATTCGATGTATCCGATTTCGATAACTCAATGATCTCTCACTGAATGAGGTCACTTCGCACTCGAGCACGATTTCCCCCTGCTTAATGAGGTCGCTTCGCACCTCGTTAATGATGTCTCGCACCTAGGGGCGAGGCATAAGCGAGGCATAATTAACGGAGGTGTGATCGTACCATTTTTATCTAACCCCTACGGTCTTCGGGTGAAGGCTGGAGAACCCCCAAGCAATCAGAAACCTCTAGTTCCCTCGCCACACATTTTCAAATAGCTTGAGGAATGCATTTTTTTCAGCTGGGAGCCCTCTCACCTTGACTACGGAGATAATCCACCTCTCATATAAAAGTGCGGTGTGTCTTTTAATTTGAACCTATCAGCATGTTGATGAGAAAGTTCCTCGTTTCCAAAGAGGAAGTAAAGCCATCATTTTCTTATTAATCTCCCTCAAATGGCAAAAAATACCGAAGTGGGTGCTGCATCCAAGTTACGGTCGTAGTTGTTGATGTTAGGTCTTCTCTGATTCTGTAGTTGTCTGTTTAACATTTGCCTTTTTGCGGGCTCTCTTCTCTGCCAGAAAAGTCATCTGACTGTAAAATAATGGAACCGCTTATCGCCGGATCGCCTTCGGACAGTTCCTTCGTTCTGATAGGAGCCAGCTCGCTCCCAATATGGCTAAGTAACAGTCTGGTGGCTATAATAGGAGCTAGGTTGTGGCTTCGAATTGTAGGCTGGCGAACCAAAGGCTCTGTTGTAACTTTTAAAAACGGATTATAGATGAAATCTATAGAGTAACTGTCCTAATCATTACGGACTGACTTCGGGGCGTGTCAGCCAGTAGAAGTGCGCACACTGTTGAAGCCGTTCTCAGCCTTTTTTGTTGAAACGCGTATGCGACAAAAAGTGGTAGAAAACGAGTAATACGAAGGATATAATACAGTAATGTCACTTGCCCGCTTCAACAATTGGTGCAGAACGACTTCGGTACCGCGCCAAACGCAGCCGCACTGACACGCCCCGACAGTCCGTAATGATGAGGATTGTATGACTTTTGAAGTCTTGAAAGTCTCATTTGGGCCTTCCTTTTTAGGTCGTGCTCGACATTTCTTCACGACTACAAACCCACTAAATATTTTGCTGAGCAGCCAAGCTCTTGAGAAAAGCCGGAAAATCGTAACTGATTATAAGTAAGTTTCAACTTAAGCTTTGTGGCTCCTAGTATACTGGAATAATATTAGCCTTTTTTCAGTAAAGGTGTCTATGACAAAGATCTTACTGTTGATGAACTATGGCATGCGAAACACGTCTACGACTCGGCTTATCATCCAGATACCGGTGAAAAGATGTTCATCTTAGGAAGAATGAGTGCTCAGGTATGGCTTAGAAATAAATGTGACTTGGCATGGAATGAGAGACTGCTCTCTCTCCTCCCAGTATTGCCCCATTTTTCTGCAGTTGACTGCATAGTTGGTGGCAGCGAAAGTTGAATAGGTCTCTGCCTTTGATTTTGCTTTTTTAATCTGTGGCGAACAGTTCGTTTATGTGGGAGCGGTTCGTTTAGTAATATCACCAGAATGATAGCATCATTTAGGAAATAGTCGCTTGAAGTTTCGCGGTTTTCGCTCATTCTGAGGAGAACGGAAAGCTGCTAGCTATTCTCGGATTTTTGGTCCCCTCTAATAGATAAGCGAGTGTTTGGAAATTTCTGAATTTATCCGGACTATTTTAGGTTCCATGCAACATGCTAATCACCGGAGGAATGCTCACCTTTTATACAAGGTAAGGGCTTTGTCCAAATCAATTTTACTTGTTTACTAACGACTTTTTGGAATGGCTTGAGGCGCCAGTAGTCTGAGGGAGAGCCATTCAATGGATCCCTTGTGCGAGATCAGACTTGCCGCGGGGAAGATAAAGGCTTGCCTAGGTCTGAAGGGGAAATGAGCTCTGGAGCCGTGGACGAAACTATTAAAAAAAGGGCGTCACAGAGGTCAGGGAAACGACGCTGACAGACGGCTACAGAAACAGGGTCGAAAGGCAGTTAATTGGTTAGCAGTTTAGCTTGTCCCAAGCGGGTCAACTGGCGCATAGGTTGTTTTGATTTGGTAATTTATCAGTTAGAGGAGGCAAGGCAGCGTTCAGACTTCGCGATGACACGCGCTGTGATGCGCTACAATCGTAGCAGCGCCCCAGTGCTGTAGACGTCATTGATGGTTTCTCACAAAATTATCCCTTTCTTTCTTAAGGACCGCCCATGTGGTGTTCTTCCAGTGGATTAACCAAACGTTCAATGCAGTAGTCAACTATACAAACCGCAGTGGGCCTAACCCGGTAAGTATAACCCTTTATTCTTGATTCATTTTCTCAGCAATATAGTGAGTGTATTCATTTCTCTTCAACTTTGTTCAGTCTTCCATAGGTTTCACAAGAACGTCTTCTCGCATCATATGTTGGTGCAACCGGTGGTGCAATGGCTGTAGCTCTGGGGGCTAATCGTATGTTGGCAAAAATGAAGGTGATAAAAAAGACTTATTATTCGAGTTTACAAAATCCTTTATTAAACGGATCAACTTGTGCCAATTGGCTGGTACTTTTTTTGCAGAATGTGCCAAGACTCGTCGGGGCGCTCGTTCCCTTCTTAGCCGTAGCCGCTGCTAACGCTATAAATATCCCGATGATGAGAAGCAAGTGAGTTTCTTCATATTCCGTTGTTTGGGACTACGTCTTGCCTCTTGCCATGTCCTTTCAGAACCTTAAAACGGGTGTTTTTCTAATTGGTGAGAGGGCGCAGGCAGGCAGACGTGGCGTAGGGCGATCGCTTCGTCGGATTCCACAAATAACATTTGCGCTCGCATCCACTTACAAGATTTTATTTCAATAACTATTGATTTCAGTGAATCGTGGTTGGCAATCCAGTCCCGGGGGAGGTCGAGGATGAAAAAGGCGAAGTACTAGGATCATCATTGAACGTACCCTACAGAGCAATTCCTCAAGTCACAATTAGTCGAATTTTCATGGCCACTCCAGGAATGGGTATGTTTTCGAAAGTCTAGATAAGATATATCTTGTCGTTTCGTTCATTTTTACTGACATCTGTGCTTCGCTGAGTTGGTTACCATCCATTCTTTGTTAGAGTGCGTTCATACTTTGCGTCAGCTTTTCGAGCAACTGTCTCAGCGAAAAATTCAAAACTACCCTCGGAACGCCCAAAACGACCACGCCTAAAGCTCATGAACGCAGCCCTTTATCGGTCCATCCGCATATGGAAGTGAGGGAGCCTTCATTGTTCCTTCTCCGATTTTGAACAGCTTTTCAATTCTTTTACTTCAGTCTTCTCCAGATTTTGCTCAGTGTTTTGCTAACGCTGATTTTGGTATGCGCTTACAATATTGATTTTAGTGCTCTGCCCGGTGATTTTCCAACGAATCATGAAAATGCGGTCGTATAAGGTGAGTGAAACTGGCCTACTGATTTCTTTTTTCAGCCTTTCGAGTTTTATTAGTGTTGTTTGTGTCGTTCTTCTGTTTTTTTTTATTCATGAGTGCGACTAAGATGCCACAGTTGTTGAATTACCGTAGTGGGGTAGGGCGGAGCTGCTCGCAATGATCCGCCGTCGCCACTGGACGTCAAAATGCAATTTTGTTGGACGTGAAAATGTCGTGGTAATGCTGGTCAGAGGTAGCGGCTGGCAGAGGCTCCCAACCTAACGCGGAATTTCCCCCCAGATTACCCAAGGGGTTAGGCTTGCATTTTTTTATGTTGGCTACAGCTATCGCAAGAGTTTGACGACATCAATACAAGAAGTTATTGATACTAATCTACTAGAATGGTAGGAAAAAAAAAGAAACGAAAGGAAGGTTGAGAAACAAAATTATCAAGAGGAAGATAAATGCTTTAAATGTAGGAGGTGGAAAGCTTGCTTTTCTATCTGTCTTTTAGGAGTGAACATTGGAAAGTTCACTGGCGCCAGCTCGTGCGATGTCAGAGATGCGAGAGGTTTTAGGGAGAGAATATTTTAAGCTTTTTTTTTATGTGTTTTCTTCACCGACGTTCTTATTACTTTCATGGTTCATATTTGACCATAACCGCCAACTTGCCTTCCGTACACTGCGTCTTTATTACTCTGAAGGGAAATTCAAAGAACGAAGACACGTGCACGACGGCAAAGATTCTGTGAAGAAACAGACTTACGACTGTTTTGAGCTACGCTGCCTGCCCACCCCCCCCCTCCCCTTTCCGGGTAATTGCGGTCGAGATCGATAGAACAAACGTCAGCACCTGTGTATGTTGTCTGTTGTCTTCTGTTTTGTTTTTTCAACTACTAGTGTAATGGATGCATTAACATTTTCCCCTTTTAGCCATGGATGGCAGCGCCCATACAAACACTTTTGGTTGGCTTTTTCTTGACATTTTCGACGCCTTTGTGCTGTGCGCTCTTCCCTCAAAAAACACCCATTTCGGTGAGTTTCTTTTTGGTTACTTGTACCTTCATATTCTCCTTGCGTGTGCGCGTGACCAGTAGTGCCATCGATCATAAAACTCGATTGTACAAAACACGTCAAAATGACGTTGCAAGAGGGGTGGCATCTCTGCATTCGCCCCAGGACCCAATCCAGTCAGCGGAGCAGTGTTGCGGAGCGCCGACTCTCTGCTTTTACTTTTCTTCAATCATGGATGCCCACAGGTCTAATTCTATCTCTATTCCGAACACTCTCTCTCTTCCCTCTAGGCCTGTCTGATGTTAACGACGCGCAGACGAAAGAAACAGAAAGGCACCTATCATCGTATCCCCCCCCCCCTCCCAGCTCACTATGCCTCACCTCCGGAACACAACGGGACTACTGTTCGACGATTTGCTGAGCCTCACCCATCCTGCTTGCACTGTTGGGGCGGGTGCTTGTTCGCCCGGAGTTTTTTAAATTATGTGGTTGATGTTCTATTTCAATTAGTCCTGTGATGAGTAAGTTGTATTGATATATCAATGATGAAGCTTCACACCCTCATGGTGACGATTTCTAGTGTGGGGTGAAATCTCTTGAATCGCTGAAATACAGTTGAAAATTGGCTGGCTCAAAAACCCACTTAAGTCGTCTACTATCAACAATGGTGTTCTGATTTGCGGTTGAGGTGGCGCTGTCATTGTTTAGCAGATCACTCCTTCCTTGCATAATCAAGCATTCTATCCGGGAACTTCTAGCTCATTAAATGTCTGTGAGTTATTGTAAAGTGAATGTAATAAAAGAATTTTCTTACTTAGCTGAATGTGTTCTTTGGCGGCAATTGCCCTTGAATTAACATGCTTGCCTTTGCATCTAATTACGTGTATTAATCGAAACTCTTTTGGGGGGTGTTACTGTGAAGAAGCAAATTCAAATACATATAACTGCAATCACTGTAGATTGTTTCTCGTGCTTGCTGATTAGGTGATGTGGTAGGTTAGACAAGTTGCGCTAAGGTTCATGCTTGCGAATAGCATGCAACCACGTTAGACACGGACTGCCAAACAATGAACTGTGCCGAAAAGACATGGCGGTGCGCAAGAGAAGGTTTTTTCAAGGCGGAGGAGGTTTCGGAGTAATTGCTCTTATTATGCATAAAGAGCTGAGGAGGCTCGTAGCTGAGTGTTGCTTGAGCCACAAAACGCCAGGGTCAAGCATTGTTGCGAATCGCAATGAGAGGTATGACACGTCCTGCAGTGAAAGGCAGGTTTTATGTTTGGGTGTTTCATATGGTCAGAGTCAGCTAGGCAGCCTCTTAGAACACCATGGAAAAGTGGCAACTGTTTCGCGGCTTTGTGGCTGTTGATGAGGCGTTGGCACTCAGTGGGAGTTGAAAATTCGATGGCAGATTCATTCTGTGCAACACATAGACATGTGTTGAAGCGCTGCCATTCACTGGCATTGGCATGGCAGCATATAAGCTGTTAAGCCTGCCCCGGCGGATAGCAAAGTACAGCCCTCTAGATGGATTGCCGATTTCACGACCATTAGAGGTGCGCTGTAGTTCGAGTCCCCACCATGGTAGTGGACAATGGTAATTGTGTGGAGCTTGCCGATGTCACTACCTCAGTAGTTATCACCCACCTGGGAATTGCCTGCCGTGTCACTGTCACTGGTAAATAGTATATGGTTCAGTGGAACTGTGTAGTGCTAATGTCACTGGTAGGTAAAGCTGCGGTTACACTTTGCAGCAGCATGAGGTGAGCGCTTCCAGGTGATAGTGTGGTTCTATGCGGCATGTTGGGGGATAAAATTAGATATTGATTGAGGCGTGCCAGCGTGTTCACGGGCGTGTTCACTGAGCGGTTTCGTGAGGACGTGTAAGCGGGGCGGGTAAGGCTGAGAGTATTATAGAAGAAGTAGGGAGAGTACAAAAATGTTGCAACAACAAAACAAAATACTAGCAACGCTAGGTTGAACGCTGGGAAGCCTACGCTACGCTGCCGCAAAGTATAAACGCAGCCTAACAGTTATAGCCAAGAGGCTGTGTTGTATCACTCTCACTAATAAGTATTACAAAGACTGTTAGAGCGATACCTTGTGGATTCCCTGGCGTAAGACAAAATAATAGCCGTTGTTGGATACAATTTGAGAATGCGCCTATAGCTGTGGAAGTGTGCCGACATTACTCCACGAATAAGAAATCACAGAGATGGTGGACGGTTCTTGCCACTCATGCTCCACTTGGTAGGGCACATAACAGCTCGCCGAAACGCTTCGTGTCACTTCTTAATTACATTGAGCCACAACTTAGACCGTGAACATTAAGATAAACGCTCTTCGGCGAGGCTGAGGTTTTGGGAGGGCAGCGTCTGACGCGCAGACCAGCGCATCACAGTTGATTGAAGTTGAGCCAGCATCCAGGTACCACGCCAAATCCGGCCCCTGACACGCCCCATTTGTGATGAATAACACGGTATGTATTCATTGCTGGTGCGAGCACAGGGTATGTGACAAGAGAAATCGATACATTCACCGACGCTGGTGAGGTGTGCGACTTCGTGCCCGCAAAATGACGACGGTTCCAGGTAGTACATGGCAACAACAGGCAATTCAGGACGGGAAATAGTCATGAATGTCTACGACGGGGTCTACATGAATTCCGGTGCTACAGTCGACAGGTTGGAAGGCGCCCGTACATTTTTTTTACCGCGCGCGGCTGAGCGGCAAATTACTATTCTGCTGCCCGTTCTCCCAGGGCACATCGTTGTTGGGGATCCCCAATAGGGGGGGGCGTATTTGGTCGCCAGACGGATGGTCAGTGTGTTGCTCCGGGAAAAATTTATTTGATAGGTTCTCCCTTCGATGGACATGTGTAAGGGAGAGGGGGTCGTACTGATCATTCGTTGGGAGGAGGCGGGGGGTCGTATTTGCGTTTGGACCGTTTGTGGGTGCGCGGTGTGACTCTTGGTGATTTTCGCTTATCACATGTGCTATTTACCCCGCTCGCACGGCCGTGATTCTCGATGAGCGAGGGACAGGAGCGGCTGACGAGGATGCTCGCGTACCAACTCCCAAAAAAGGCGAGCGGTCGTACTAGCAGTCGACTAAAGTCCCCCAACCAAGTGATGTAGGCCGCAGTCTTCACGAGCACATTCCCAATGGATCTTCCGGTTGTTAATGTGTCGGTAATGTCCAGTGCGTAGTTGGGTAACGTCTGTATTGAAATTTCCTCAGTCGACTGAGACGACGTGTGTTAGCTTGCGACAGCAGTTGGTTAACTAGGGTTCTTGGGAGGCATACTTGAGGGCGTGAAAGTTTGCTATCTTCATGATGGTGGCCATGTGCAAATGGTGTACACCCAATCGCCTTGGAAATCTGCAGTTGTAGGCACTGAGGATCGAAAATTGTCGAGACACTAATTGGGATGAATCACACTGAAACGTTAAGAAAACAAACCAAACATCAGGCAACGACAGTCCCGAGTACTGTCACTTCTTGTATGTGGTCTGTTAGGAATAATCATGTGCACCGTGGGTACTGACACGGTGCCAGCCCTTTACCTACTCACTAATAACGCCAGAAGTCGCAACGATCCATGACAAAAGAGTTGCTTCGCACCAAAACCTCTGCATACTTGACGCGCCCCGGGTGACATCGGTGATAACGATGATACCATAGCTTCGGACAAGGCAGGTCATGACACGCATTACCGGTTAATTTCTATCGTACTACTGCACACCGTATTAAGGTGCATCTGCGAGCTTTATAGAAACGATTGCATAAATTGAATTTATTTTCGTGAAGCGTTAATATGAGTTCCACTTTTCGTTAATGAAATACACAATGTTATTAGTACGCGCTGTTCAGCTCTTCAAAATCACCACTGTCCAAGTCGTTTCATTTGCTGCACGCTGTTTTCGTACCGGGTAGAGCACGTCTTTCGAGCAAACCTTCGATATTCTGTTGGATCTGAAAAAGTATGAACGGTGAGCTACTGAGTTATGGGTAAAACTCTGAGTGAGCTGGGAATCGGACCAAGGTTTCAGCGTTTGTATGTGTGCCACTGTAAACTTTCAGACTTGCTTTGAAAGATCTTGGAAATATGACAACGCTACTTTTTGCGTTTATAGTTCGCGATATTGGCGACTACCTCTCTCGCGAACTGGAAGAACCACAAAATCAATACTGATCCAATCCACGGACATCATGTGATCGCTGGTGTCGCGAGCTATGAATGTTGGCAGATATTTCCACCTGGATATCATGATGGCGGCCTTAAGAACCCTCAGTATACTTTCACGCTTTACCTCCTTCTGCAGCCTTGACTTTCTTGCTCAGACTCTTTTTTTCCACGTTATGTCTAATTTCGATCTTGTTGCTCTCCATTCACGTGGCATTATTAATGTCCATCCTCTGGCTTATTACGTCCCGAAATCTAGATAGATAGATGAAATAGATGATAGCTAGATAGATAGATAGATAGATAGATAGATAGATAGAGAGAGAGAGAGAGCTCCTCTCATAGCAACAGTGTAACTTCTATGAAGAGCTATGAGTTCTTGGAGAGTTGGGAGTGAGAAGCGATGACTGACATCTCGTCTAGCTCACGAAAAGACACTCTGGTCAGTATCGCCGTATCTCACAATGGTCGAATCCACCCCATGTAGGAAAGCTGGCACGTAGGTAATGCCAACAAGTATCATATGCAAGTGATACATGAGTGGGAACGAGTCGGTTTCTTTAAGTGTTGACAAGTTTCGGTCGGGAGATCCGGTTGTGGCAACGCGCTCAAGCTCCTGTTTTTCACGACGTACCAATTAGGCCCTGGTGCAAATGCCGCCCACGCGAGCTTGAGCGTGGATCTCAAAACCGGAACAAAGTTTTGATCCGACTTGAGCATGTTATGATTACCTCAGCCATTGTCCAGCGTTCATCAGGAGTCTTTGGGAAGCAGTGTTCGTTCATGATTATTCGTACAAATTTGGGCATTTTGTACGGTGCAGACAAGCGATACCCAGAGAGCACCTGGAATACACAAAGTCCGTCATGGAAAATCCTGGCAGTAGTGTAACACTTGAAATGTAGGGAATGAATCTACGACAAGTTTCATGGAATGTCTACAATACCGCGTGCAGGCGGTTGTGCGACATCAGGTCCGACTTTTCAGCATGAGAGCCCGCTGTCAAGGGCAATGAGCGAATTATTCACACGGCAGCAAACTCTTATAGCCACCCAAGAGTGTTGGCATTGGCAATGAAAGTACCTTAGGCTGCGTTCATACTTTGCAGCAGCGTCTCGAGGGTCTACCAGCATCTGCCAGGATTAAGGAAGCATAGGTATCGATCTAGCATCTGCCAGCGTCTTCCAGCTTGCACCAGCATTCACCAGCGACACGCCGCAATTTCACGACGCCTAATCCAGCAATTCAATACCCTTCTACTTCCTAATACTCTATACTCCCTGTCGCTGGTGTACGCTGGTGGATGCTAGTAGACGGCAGACGCTAGATCCATACCTATATTTTCTTAGCCTTCGAGACGCTGGCAGACGCTGGTGGACGCTGGCAGACGCTAGATCGATATCTACACTTTCCTAGTCGCTGACGCTGCCGGACGCTCGGAACGCTAGTGGTCGCTGGTGGACGCTTAGACGCTGGTGGACGCTGTCGCAAAGTATGAACGCAGCCCTACTGGCTTGGGCATGACTTGCCTCAGGGCGTTACTGTGCTTGGGAGGAGCATTGTGAGCGCAACTAAAAGAGCACTCGTGCAATGGAAATCCCCTGAGGGGTTCGTAATTGGTCGCTGGAGGGAGGGGGTTGTAAACACTTAGAGAAACTTTGCTGCTTATTGATTCTCCCGCTTCACCCGCACTGTATACTTTCCATATCCCGGAGGAGGGGGGAGCGTGGCCGCATTCTTCACTTGAACATGGCAGCGGCTGCCCTACTAGTGGAATGTTTTCGTTTCGAGACAATGTTTACCACGTCTTTGTTGATCATGTGACAAGGTGACTGTTGCTTCAAAAAATATCCCACGAAAAAAGTGCATTCCATGCTGTGCCCAAATGGGTTGCGCAGCCACGCTCCTTCCTTGAGCGGGATATAGGGTGTATATCGTTGGGAGAATCCCAATGGGGAGTCTTATTTGGTCGCTGAAGTAAGAGGTAGCTTTTTATGCAAAACATTCCCCGAGAAACCTGCCCTAGCGGCTAATCGTCGTTATCCTCTTGCAGTCCGCATTCCTCTTCACGTGCCCCACCCTCTCAACTCCACTAACAAATCTCCGAGATGTCGGTCGGAAGTAGGCTGAGATGCGATTTCAATCCGTGAAAACAACAAAAAAATGTAACCTACCCGTGCACGAACTTCGGGAAGCGTCATATTCTGGTATGGGAGGGCTCCTCCTGTGTATATCTGAAGAATTAGGTGAGTAATCATAGATTTATTGGTTGGGGTACAAATGCAAATCAGAGGTTTTTAGGGACTTGTCAGGAGTTCTGAATACATACACGGTTTGCCGTCGGGTGGTACAGTGTGTACAGCTCCATATGTCCATGACCCCCTTTCACTGGCGACGAGTACGCCCACAGAACCTATCCCGCGGTGAATGACTGACTGTTTTGACTCTCGACGACGGGTTCGCCCTCCCGGCAAATTAGAGAACCAAAATTCAGCATAAGTCTCTTCAGTGGTATGGTTCTGGCTTACAAGGTCGCATATTTCTTTATTTCTTTGCCTTTTTCCTGCAGTTTTTTTGTTCCACCAAACTCGCCCAAACGCAGGCTAGCAACTGACGTCATGTAACGAGCAGTGTGCTAGAATTTGACGCTGGATGGTTTTCACTTACTTCGAAAAGATCTTTTAGGACTCAGCTCACCTCCCATAGCATCACTCCGAAAGAGAACACATCACTTTTTGTCGAATATGTCGCCGTGGCCAGAACTTCTGGTGCCAACCATCGGATCGGCAGCCGTTGATTCATGTCCTGAGCAAGAGCAGCCCGAATATCTCATAAAGTTGACTCTAGATTGGTCGAAGGAAGTCCGACCAGTCAGACCGAAATGCGACCTCAATGAGCCCCGCTTTTGCCCAACCCACGCCTCGTCTTTCTTCAGGACTCTTAGCGTTAGAGCGCTATCATTAACTGTTTTGGATTCCCTTACTAGGCTCGTTGGAAACTTTTCTACGATGGTCCCCTATATGATTGTTATTTTCGACCTATGGGGACACTACTAAAGACCATTTTTGGACACTTTGGTAGTTTGGGAGGTTATAGCAAGGGGGTTAAGTGTTTTTGCACAGAACGTCTGTGATATTTCAGCTAAGGAAGGGAGGTCAAGTTCCGGTATAAAATTTTACCGCATTATGATTTTGACGTCAATTTTCAAAAACGAGGCTGTCAACGGTAGACAGTGCCATTTATTACAAAGAACTCTGAAGGAGTTATAATGGGAATTACCTTGAGCTTATACTTCTTTTCTCTATTCGATAGCTCACGTGATAACCCAAAGTCACTAATTTTTACGTCGTTGTCGTGTACCAGGCAGTTCCTAAATAATGGTAGAATTCTGGCACAAAAAGCTAGTATTTCTCTCAGGGCACGTCTGTCGTTGGATAGAATTTCTGTGAAATACGACCCCCTCCTCACAAAGAAACGAGCAAAACGCCCTCTTCTTACTGGGAGGTTATGGATGTCGCGCTGCTTCCCCGTGGGACGTGTCCTGATCTCTCTGATTTATCATTCCGGCTATTCCCGCATTCGGGTCTACCTTTCTATCACGTCCTTCGCTCTAACACCTTGAAGGTGGCGTGCATTTTCGGCTATACACGCGTGCGCTGACTCTCGTTTCGCGTGTTTGTGCATTGTCAGCCATGCACACGCCTCAAATGAAAGTCGCAGCAAAACGATGCGGCATTCAATGGTTAAATGCGGTATCAAACTGTTCGTATGGGCGAGGACAGATAACCAAAGGAGAGCGTCCATCGTCCACGATACGCACGCAGGTGGGCGGAGATATGGATGGGGACAAAGAGCCATTGTGCCTTCCTCATTGGTGCATCCCTCTCTTTACCAGCCCAGAGCGTGAGGCGCATCAGTGAGGAAGGCAGTAATTCTCTGTCTCCGCCTATATAGTGCCTGTGACCCATACAATATTAGCTACTCAGCTTCCTAATTCCTCACGCGGCCAGTGAAAACGACTTTGTTTTCATAACCATTTCTGTTCCATTTTTTTCTTCCTATGTGGAACCGAAAAAAAAACAAAAATCACAGTTACCTTGTTGCTACATCTCTATGAATGCAGTTTTTGTAGTGAAGATATTCAAGTCCTTTAGAAGCTCCAAAGGCGTATCGTAACTAAATCAGTGGAATCACTTTATTATTGGGAGGGGGGGGCAAGGTATTAATCAGAAATGCACCAACAAGATCATTAATTGGGATGTCATCGCCATGTTTTTGGAGTACACCATCAAGTGAACCACCATCGACCAGTTCCATTACAAGCATAACTGGTTCCTGAATTGATATACTTATGTAGTACGACTGCGAGAGATGATGGGGAGGGCTGCTGAGAGAGGAGAGGGACACTCTACGGAAAAGTGGGAAAAATGGTCCTCGCGTCATAATAATTTTGCCTTGATTTGCCCTGAATGGACAGCAGGATCCTAGGCAGGGTAAATCCTGGAGTTGAGGGAATTTCTTGTTGAGTACGACCCCCATCCCCTTCTCCTCAACCGAATTTCTCTCCTCTGACGCCCAATACTGCTACCGACCTATCGTTTTACCGGCCCTTCCCAAAAATCTGCCTTCGAACGGCAGGGGAAGGGTAGAGAGGGGTAGAGGGGTAGACAACTTACACCATCTATCACGAAAGGTAGTTCTACGTCGACTAGGGAAGTATGTGACAAGGCAATCGTAAGGCTGCGTTTATACTTTGCGGCAGCGTAGCGCTTCCAGCGTACGCCAGCGGCAGTGCCGGGGAGAGGATGGATATCGATCTAGCGTTCCCAGCGTCACCCAGCGCTAAACACTAGCTACGCTCGCGTTTCTCGACGGAGAGTGGAATAAGGGCTACAAACAACATCGATTGCGCGTCTCTCACTTCGCCTTTAGTCTTCTTACCAATACATCGATCCGTATAAGTCTCTGACGGCACATAGTCTCTACTCCTGATAACGCTAGCAAAACAGCTGGTGAAACGCTGGCGAAACGCTGGCGTAACGCTGGCGTACGCTAGCGTTACGCTGGTGACGCTGGGAACGCTAGATCGATATCTGCTCTCTCGCTCGCTGGCGTACGCTGGAAGGCCAATTGCCAAAAGTACTAACGCAGTCTAATTCGCCGCACGCAAGGCGCAGCGCCATTCGCATGCCGGGATTGCTCGCGATAATATGATTTTTCTAGGTTATAGCACAGCTGTCTTATACCGAATATAGTCCAGCATTGCCTTACGCTGTCATAAACTCAGAAATCAAGCATTGGGTCGACAGTTACAAATCAAAGAAAAAAACATGATATCGCTGCCCACGCGGACTGGCTGTGGCACCGATTGCTCTGCGGTCTCTTTGACTTGGTACGGATCCTGTGTAGCATTAACGGAAACCAGCAATCGAATTATCAATTCGAAAAGGATTTGATAAGAATCTTTTTTCAGCCCACGCTCGTAACACATTCCTCTTTACGCCAGGAGGGTCAGTGTCCGTCTGGCGGAAGCCTTTTGATCCATGGCAAAGATTTTAAAACTGGGGTGGAAGCTAGATTCTGCTATTTCCCATCCATCGTTTCGGTGTGCAGTCGGAGGGTTTACATTTTTCGCGGCAAATTTGGCACACGTCTCTTTTTGTGGATTGTGTAGAACCACCACAATTTTGCTATGAAGATGAATGTTTATTACGGCAACATTGGTTTCTGTCATCTCGGGGCTGGAACTGGCTGGTATTAATTAGCATTTCATTCCATTCGAATGATGATTTGTCCCCGCCAAGCCACAATAAGCAGTTTCTGCGCACAAAACCTGATTCTCCTAGAAACATAGCTCGCGTATTATAGATGTTTCGGTTCTGTAGGGCACGGGCTGCCCTTATAAGTGTGCCATATTTGGCACTTCGGCGCCGGACAAGTACAGCTCTTCCATTGGTTGCCGCTGTCCCTTGACCTCAACTTTGAAAACCCGTCATATTCCTTTTCCTCTAAAACATTCTTCCTCACCATTTCCGCCCTCACTTGCATTCAAACGCTCTTTGAGACCTCACGCTTGTCTTGACCCCACTCCCTCTATACGCTTGTCCCGGGTGGAACTTTACTGATAGTTCACACCAAGTTATGAAGTACCTTATCCACCAACTCATGCTGTCTTTCTACCTGCCCTTTTCTATTTCTACCACTGTTCAAAGGTAAATCGGTAAGTAAATCGGAGAGGGAATGCGGCCTAGGTATTGAATGTCTCCAAAAGCTTTGTAGAGAGGGGGGGGGCGTTAATGTAACTTACTTTCTCGACGGCGACTCCATAGAATTTGACGACATTCGGATGCCGATAACGCCTCATAATTCGAGCTTCTTTACAAATTTCTCTTATTGTTTCCTTGCTGACTTTTTGTCCTTTATGAACTTTCACTGCCACCTTAAATTTGGTTATTTATTTATTTATGCGTAATTACAACGCGCTCAAACAAAACAAAGTAGCAAAGCGGAGTGAGCAATTTCAGAACCAAACAATAAACAAAAATCAATAAACAAAAATAAAATCCAAAACAAGATCCGTATAAAAAAATTCATGTGCAGTAAAATTACAGGCAGTTGCACTGAGAGGTCGTAAAGAATCAACCGAAGCAGCTCTTAGTTGCTCAAAAGGATGGAGTTCCATAATTAACTAGGCGGAAGGAGAGGAGTCAGAGAAGAATATTTGGCAAAGATGCCCTAGACCACAAAGAAAGTAATGAAAGTACGGTATCGTAGTGATCATAGAGGCTTGCTCACAAGATACTAGTAACCAGTGACGAAGCTACTGTCCGCACCAGCTGGTCACAGTGCCCTTAGCGCCACATGAGGGGTCATGGGGGTATGCCGGCACTTCGAGACACGGGTATACCAGCAGCCCACGTGGAACCGGCATACTGGACAGAAGCCACAATAACAGGGTTACTAGACCCGGAGCCTTGATCAGAGCCGACATTGCAAGAAGATGAACTCCATGGATGAAGAGGGGGTATGAGCAGAGAGAACTGAATAAACTCCTCCTCTTGATCAACCAAGGGAAAACAGAAGAAGGAAGTCTCAGGGCAACTGGTGAAGGAAAAAAAACTATTACTATGATATCTGACGAAATCT